CAAATCAGATTCGTTAACTATGAACAAATGTGATATTTGAATGTTGATAAAGAAATCATGCTCTGTAATATAGTAAATAATATCTGACATATTTTTAGAGGTATGAAAGCAATGAGGATGAGTTTATTTATATAATTTAATTTATTTGAGACAAAGATATGGGTTATTCAGTGTAATTATTTTAATGAAATAGTTATTTATTTATAGTTAACAAATATTTCTTTAATACTTTAAAATCATTTATTTCAGTCAAATCAGATTCGTTAACTATGAACAAATGTGATATTTGAATGTTGATAAAGAAATCATGCTCTGTAATATAGTAAATAATATCTGACATATTTTTAGAGGTATGAAAGCAATGAGGATGAGTTTATTTATATAATTTATATTGGGGTATCTTCTAATAAACTAAAATTATTAGATCCGAGTTGGATTTTTATAGTTTTTTTTTCCATTATTAAATTCATCAAAAATTTATGTATATATAAAAAATGACTCAATTATAACAGGCAACGATAAAGGTATTAAAATTACGATAACTCAAATAGCGACAATAGCGACACAAACGTCTTATGATTTATTTAAAACGAGATCTGTTAACTATTAACAAAATTTGAATGAAATAAATCGGCGAATTCAATCAAATAAACCAAAACAAAGTAGTATTTGGTTGAAAGTAATCCAAATTTAAATCAAACAAATTTGTTCATATTAAATACGTATTTTCAAGCTATTTTAAATAAATCTACGAATTTAAATCAAACAAACTGTTTTCTCAGTGTGATCAAAATGATTTTGAAACTATAAAAAAATTTTTATTATTAAGTGATTATCCATACTTACCGCTAATGTCCACATCATTGGCCATTGTAATCCACCTGTCGATGCCCGTTGGAGTGAAACAGCTGCGACTGAACCGAGCGACACTTGACCTTCGACAAGAGCCTTAAGTATCAAGTAGTATCGAATTAACTTAAAGACGCTTGGAAAAAAAATCGAAATCCTTCAAAGGATTATTTTTCGTCATTCTAATTCAACTTATTAATTAATTTCCGGAATCACATTAATTAACAAACTAATTCCGCTAACGAGGTTTATTGTATGATGCCGGAATTTAATATCAAAGTTCACCATGAGATTATCTCTCTCTACTCAAAGCAGGTCGTCAAACGACGTACGCCCACAAGCTTTCAGCCGGCACGTGTGCTTTCTATAAACGGGAAAGTATTAGCAACTGTGCGTAGGTTGATAAAGATGTCTATTAAGATGCAGCGTGCCTTCTTAAGTAGTTCCAATAAAATATAAGATTGTTTGTTGCACGCCTCATAGCGCGAAGCGCTTGAGGCAGTGCTTTACTCCCGACTCGTTAAGGCCAAGCATTAATGATAATGAATTTAACAACTTGTTTGCACTAAAATTTTGTAGAATAAAGAGTATTACAGTTAACATATGGTAAAAACGTTTTGTCAAAAATCAAAATTCAAACCAATAAATTTTTGAGTAATTCAAATTATGTATTTAGCACAAAGCTTTTATTTCGAGTTGTCAGTGAAAAAACGATAAAAATTTTTATCCAATTGATGATGGAGTAAAAAAAACTAAGAAACATTTTTTTTAAATAATACACGGAAAAAACAAGATGACACTGGATATCATCCCAGATTATACTGAGGGAAAAAAAATTCAGATAGTAGCTAGTATAATCCAGATTATAATGAGTATAATCCAGATTATAATGAGTATAATCCAAATATCACGCAGTATAAGCTGGATTTTTTTGGCTGCTATCTGAAATTTTTTTTCACCGCAGATATCACTGAGTATAATCTGGGATGATATCCAGTGTCATCTTGTTCTTTCCGTGTAGATAAAAAATAAATAAACTTTTTTTTCATAATACAAAAAAAAGTTAATTTTATATGATTCAATAAAATTATGAATTTTTGGCGGGAAATAATTTTTTTGCACGCCTCATAGCGCGAAGCCGTTGAGGTAGTGCTTTACTCCCGACTCGTCAAGGTCAAGCAATTTTGTGATCTTCAAATGCCTCTATCACAGCCATATTGCACTTATACAATAATATGAGTAGACGTACATCGAGAAAACACTTTAATTAATCCATCTTATAGTTTATAAAAATAATTTTGTGTTGGTACTTTGAAAAAAAAAACGTTTCGAAAAAAATTTTACGTGGACGTCCGGATGTCTGTGCGCTGACTTTGTATGTAAACACGATAACTCCCGAAAGAATTGATGTATCGAGACCGGGCTTCTTTTATTAGTTCCAGAATTCGATTAACTGGTGTCGTATTTCATATCAGTAGCCTAGTTGAAGTAGTTTTTTTTAAAATGAATTTTTATTAAAATTCACTATGATACACACGAACAAAAACAAAATAACTTTTCTTATTTCTCTCACGTGAAAACTATGGCGCCACTTAATCAAATTAAAATTAGATCAACCAATCATATTACTAGATTTTTTTAGACTGCGCGCGCATATGATAAGAAAAATGGGCGCCAATAATTCAAAAAAAATTATAAAATACTCCGTAAGAAATGACTTAATTATTTTTTTTTCTTTTAAAAATCAATTATATAATTTATTTTTTTATAATTTAGAAAAATAAAATAAAATAGATTTTAAGAATTACATTCCTAATGCGCATTAAATTTTATTTGAGAAGATTAACTACGGAAAAACCTAGTACTGGCAATTATATTATTAAGCTTGGTACATCAATTAATAAAAATAATATTTTTTAATAATTCTTTAAATTAATCCGCAGATAAGCCTTATCAAGAATTACAACTGCGTCATTATTAACCTTCAAGCCATGAACGATTAGAAGGTTCAAGGTAATTCATAAAATAATAGTCATGCTTGACCGTTTACAGTTGAACTTTGATAAAGTTTAACAATTAGCGATATCTAATAACTCATAACTAGTAATTAATAGTAATTAAATATAAAGTATTGTTATGTGGATAGATAATAAAAATTACGGAAAAAAGAAAAATAATTTTTAAGGAAGTAAGGAAGGTACTTATTGTAATAAATAAAAAATGACAGATTTATGTATAATTCACCAGACAATGTTTATTCAGACGACCTCACAACTCCCAAGCGTACAAAATTACGTGCTCACTGGGCAATATGCGGGGCTGCTTTGTATTCATGCGCATTTTGTTTTGTTCATCAAAAACAACTGATTTTATAGTTTTTCTTAATGGATAGAGAAATATATCATACTTTATGTATCGTTTATTATAATTATTATTTATGTGTAGTTTATGCATAACAGTATTACGAATATCAATGCTAGATTTTTTTAATTATTCTTATCATTTTTATTTCCAATCCTGTTTTTTTAAATTAATTATCTTTATTGCAAATTTTATTGGGTTTAAAAATTATTCTTTTTTTTTTTTTTTTTTCAATTAAGGGATTAATTACTGGCTTGTGCTCAAGCATACATATTTATATATTTAAATAATTATTTTTATACAAGATATATGAGCACAGTTAAATTGAAAAAATAAAAATTTTTTTTTAATGCAATATTTTAACAGGAAAATAAAATAAAAAAATGAATAATAAATTTTTAAGCAAAAATTTTTTTTTCAAGAAAAAAAAATTTTTTCAAAAAAAAAATTTAAAAAAAAAAAAAAATTTTTTTACAAAAAAAAAATGTTCAAAAAAAATTTTTTATTCAATATTAAAGTTTTTTGTTTTTGAAAAAAAAATTTTTTCAAAAATTAAGTTTTTTTTTTTTGAAAAAAAATTTTTTTTTTTTGCAATTTTTGAAAAAAAAATGGAATTATTTTAGTTATAATTTAAATAAATTATTTTCCGTGTAAATATTTTTTAATACTATGCAATTGTGAAATGCTAATAGGATACAAATGGCAGATTATTTGTGTGGAGGGGGGGAATAAGGCGGGCGTCTCAACAACATGTCGGCGGCGGCCCGCCGCATATTTCAAAGAATTAAATTTTTTTTTTCTTAATCATCCACAATTTTGAATAAATTTTGACTTTTTTTTTATAATTATAAATTATTATTATCATCACCATTAATAATAATATTATTACATTATTATCATTATAATTATCATAATTATTAAACCTAATTATAATTAATAATTAATATTATTTTTAGGAAAAATTTATCGCCAAAAATGAATGTTTTTTTTTTTTTTCTAAACAACTACATCTTACATTAAATATGTACATCAGAAATCACTCTAAAATATCTCACACATCCACAATAATATAATTATTCCTACAAACTAACACCCTAAATAACAGGACATTTCAGTAAGATTAATAACTCCTGTATTAATAATAATTATTAATAAAATTTTCATTAAATCATCCATCTAATACGATGATACATGATATAGGTACGGTAATTGCAAACTGGAGGGCCAAAAAGCCAATCATCAGTCTCAAAAAAAAATGATATTTCTCTTTAGATAATTTGCCAATTCAAATAGCCCCGACTCGCACAATTACATTCATACTGTGTCTAATAATTACAGACACAAATTTTAAATGTACGGATATTATTCTTAAAATACCAATAATTATCTTAAATAATAGAAATTAAAATTACATTATTATAGAGTAATGATTTATGAATGAGATGGATACTATACAAGATGCGCGATATTCATGATTATCACATAGAATATTTTATTTTAAATTCATTTCAACATTATCAATCAATTAATATATCTAGACTGATTTCTAAGACATAATTATCGATGCCACTTTAAGTGTCCATCTTCCTTTTAGCACTATAAAATAGGTGGGGGGCACACACGGATTAGATATTACTTCCGTATTAATAATCTTATAATTATTATCAGTTAATTTTTAAATAATAAATTATTTGGTTTTTCACGCGCAATTAGAGCGTCCTGGCACTGATAAAATTTCCACAGAAAAGCACTAAATTTTTCACAAGTGGGATGGAAAAAATTTAACAGGACTACGCTTCAAGAGAAAGAACCTTGCATTGTCCAACAATAGGTCTAGGCGAAGGGGACGGCGATTTTTTGGACAAATTTAAGGGTTGTTGGCTGTCAGCAATGTCTACTTGCAGCTCCATCATATTATTAGGACACCCTGATAGTACTAAAGTGGTAGAATTGCTAGAATTCAGCCTGGGACTCGTGCTAGTACTCGTTGCTGCAGCGGAAAGATATCTAGGTGACCCGGGTGTTCCAATAACGAGGTAGTTAGAATTCTGCTGTTGCTGCTGTTGTTGTTGCTGCTGCTGCTGCTGCTGCTGCCTACCGGTAGTAGTGGTAATAACCGAAGTAGCAGGCCACCTGGAGTACCCAGTAGCGCACTGAAGCAGCCCCTGATTCTGCGAAGGTGACCTTGCAATTGTAGTAGTAGAAGCGCACTGTTCCGCAGGTGAAGGACTTGAATTTCCCGACCTGGGACTTGCTTCACCGCGCATAATATAATTATGAATAATATCAGTCCGTTTAAGCTGCTCCGCAGTCATTCTTGGCCCCTCCATCAAGCTTTTAGCCAAAGTCGAGTGCGTGCTGCTGAGCAAACTTGCAGTTTGGGGACATTGACTCGCGGAAGGGCTCCTTGCGGGGGAGGTAAGGTGTAAATGCAATTGAGATTGGGTGTGCTGAACAACAACAGGTTCTGCCTCAGCACTGTCTTTCTGCCTTAGCGCCCTGAATTTCTTGTGAGGTTTATAGGCTTCGTCCATCAGCGAATTGGTATCGTAAAGCGGAGGCGCCTGAAGGACTCTTTTTAACACTGGCATGTCTTCGACCTCTTTGTCCTCTGACCTGGGACTCGAACAGACAGAAGTGGGCGCGCTGCTAGCGCTGCTGCTTGCTGGCTTATCAGTTTTTTCCGTGCCAGATTCTATTCCGCTGTCGCTAGGCGAATCTAACTTCCGAAATCGCGGACATTGGGGCGGTTGGGGAGTTTTGGACATTGCAGTACGGTGCAATTCGTCGTCACCTGAGCTGGTGCTTCCTGAATTAGCGCGGCGCCGGTGAGGACACAGTCCACCTGCTAAAGTAGCCGCTAAAAGTGGCGCATTTGATGCGTGATGCCCCGGGGTTGAGTGGTACTCGGTTAGGGAAGCTACTTCACCGCTGCAAGTGCTTTCGGTGCTTGAGACACTTCCTAAAGGGCTTTTTACCGCTTCGTCTAGGGCCACGTCTGAGGCAGATCCCCAAGAAGCTGTTGGTTCTTCTTCCATTGGCCACTGCTGCTGTTGCTGCTGCTGTTGCTGTTGTTGTTGTTGTTGTTGTTGTTGTTGCTGCTGATGATGTTGTTGTTGTTGTTGTTGTTGTTGCTGCTGCTGCTGCTGAGCTTGCAATTGTTGCTGCTGTTCAGTCATTTTAAACGCCAGAAGCTTTTCTGAGTGCAAAGTGTTAAGAGTTCTGAGATCGGGAATTTTTTTGAGCAATTCGCGAAGTATATCCGGATGCTGAGGGTGGTTTTGCGCTAAAACAGTCTGGAGGGCATTACGGAGTTTGTTATGCATACGCTCGACAAGATCAGTGTTGCGTAAACCCGGCCTATCAGCCGCAATCACTACCACTGAACAGAAAAGTCCTAATTCGGCGTCGGAAAGCCGTAATGAGTTAACGCGTTCAGCAAAATCAAACATTGAGTCCATTAAGAATCGCGCGTTACTGTTGTGGATGGAATCTCTTTTGAGCACTTGCCCGTTTAGACAGATCATACTATTTGTTTGGGCGTCGAACATACACGCGAGTCTTACTAGAAGGACTTCAAACACTCCGGCTTTTAATAGGGTCACTTGGTCGTCCTGGGCCAGCAGGTTGAAACCAGGAATGCGTTTTGCGAACTCCACTACTCCACGTATCGCAGGGGAAAACCTCTTTGAAAAGTCCTGCAGGAGCTCTTGCTGACCGGTTAGTGGCTGAGGGTTCGGGTTCAGCGGACATGCCTGCAATCAGAAAGATTTTGGGATTGTTAATAGAGGTATTTAGAGACAAAGGTTTGTTGGAATTGTTGGTGACCTCCGAGAGTGACTTTTAACTAGATGTTTAACTTCCGTCTTTTAGTCTCGAGGACGCCTTCGTATAACTATTTCCGCGTTACGAGGTAATCATTCAAGGTTCGGGTGATGCCACCAAAGTTTTTTCAGTCGAGGTCAATGGTTTGTTATTGCGTAAGAATTAAATAGGCAGTTTAAAGAATTAGGAAAATTTATTTTGGGTGAATTTATTTAATCAAACCCCATGAAAAAAAAATATATAAATTATCTATTGTAAATATATTTTTAATAACTAACTTTTGGCCGATTTTCATATATATTCTATATATTTCAAATATATTTTAGATATATTCAAAATATATTTTTAGCTATGTATTTTTTATGTATTTTTTAAGATATATCTTAAATATATCTAAAATATATTTAATATATATATATGAAAATCGGGTAAAAGTTAATAGTTATTAAAAATATATTTACTATACATATTTTTTAAATATTTATATATTTTTTGTAGATTTTTAATATATTTAAAATGTATTTTTTATATATTTCGACATATATTTTTTTTTTTCATGGGGGAAATGCATTTTTTAAATTAAATTTAGTATTTTTGGAAAGGTAGAGAGCTTAATTTGTGCATTTTTGATGTTTTATATGCTTTTTTATACTAGTTAGTTTATAATGATAAATTTTTGAAGTAATAAATAGATTAGAATTTCGCGAATAAAATTTGGTTTATTTATATTGTGTTGTAGATGTCAATGTGGTAAGTCAAAAATTAATTTATGTAATTAAGAGACTAAGAAAAATTTTTTAAGGGTATATATTTATTGTAAATTGGGTTTGATATTTTTTCAGCGATATTTATAATATAAATAATTGTAAGAAAAATTTTGTGAGTTTATTGTTATTTTTAAAGAAATTTTTATAGATTAATTTCGTATCATCAGAAAGGTCGAGATAAGAATTAGTGTTTTTTGGTTTTATATATTTTTTAGTAGTCAAATTTTTATGTCAAGTATTTGGAGGAGTTTTTAATAGTTTTTTGGTTCTATAAATTTATTTGGTCAAATTTGTCCATTAAATTATTTGCAATTGTGATAGCACTATTATTTTTTTAATTTATTTATAAGAAAAATATTGTTTTTGGAGAATTTATATGATAAAATGAATTTTTGAAATGAAATTTAGTATTTTTGGAAAGGTCGAGAGCTTAATTAGTGCCTTTTTGATGTTTTATATCGACGGTCTAATTAAATGCAATTTGTCTAACTCCTTATTTTTTAAAGGGTGATTTTTTAACATTTTGATGTAGCCATAATCGAATTATAAATTATTTGAATGATTCAAACCTAAATATTAAATCTCTATTAGATATTAATTATATTAAGTGGTTTTTTAAAGTGATAATAATAAATTTTGAACTAATTGTTTTTTTCGTAAAAAAAAAATTTTTTTTTCGCTCAAAAAAATAATTTGGAAGAATATTTTCTTGGCTCAAGTTAACCTTTTTTTTTCTGTGTAGTGCTTATCTCGGAAGTCATACAGTGACTCTAAATTTTTCGTAAAAAATTATTAAATTTATGAATGACGGTACTTACCAAGGTTGGTGGGCAGGCTGTATAATTGGGTGTTTCTCGTGCCCTTGTGAGTACCGGAGCGACCTTATCGCGGGTAAAATCACATGTGTCAAGGTGAGCACGCACTACTGTCGCTAGAAGACGCTGTTCATCCTCCAGTTCGGCAGCTACTGCTTTTTCTTGAGAACGACTATGGGAACTCTGCTGCATCGCTGCCAGAATTCGGGCTTTTTCACGTTTTGGCACACGGCCGAATCGAACCGCTGAAACAATAAAAAAAAAAAAACATTTTTTTTATTAATAATTGTCATTGATTTTAAAGGAAAATGATAATATAGTTGCATGATAAATTGTTAATGGTATATAATCAATGGATGAATCATGAGCGCAGGGTCGAGACCAGGGAAGTTAAATAACCTTCAGTGACAACCATGGTTTGTCGTATCGCGTGACAAGTTAAAACTGTAAGAGTCTAACTATTTCCACAATGCAAGGTCAATACAATACAATTCAATATGTAACAATTTAATTATATTGTTTTTATTGTGGATATTTTGTTGTATAAACTACGTTTCATTATCATCATGTACCGAGTCATTGGATCAGGAATTGAAAAGAGGGAAAGCGAGAGCGAAACTTTCACAACAGATGAAAGTATTCCCGGTTATATTATTATGGAAAGTCCCCGATTCTTAATTGAAAGTCAACAATTGTTTATTTATTTATTTATTATAATTAATTTAATACTGAACAATTTTTTTTTATTTTTATGACAAAATTTCTTAAAAAAATTTCCACTAATAATTTTTTTTAATATTCAATTGAAAATTAATTTTTTTTCACAATAATTTAATTGATTAAAAAATTTCTGTCATAATATAATGAGAATAAATGTAGTTGACAGCTGTCAATTTTTTTAATAAATTAATTACACTAAAGAAATTTTTTTCATAATTTATATTATTAAGAGAATAATTGAGAATTGTCCTTTTATCTTGTGAACTATTGACATTTTTAAAGATATAAGCTCATCTTGATGTTAGACTCTTTAAGACCTTTCATTTGAGTACCCACATGTATTTTTAATATATTTTTCATATATACATATATATAATATATATATATAAATATATAAAATATATAAAAAATTGATGTGGGTACTCAAATGAAAGCTCTTGATGAGCCTTACATCAGGATGAGCTTATATCTTAAAAAATATCAATAATTAAAAAATTACCTTGTATCTTGTGAAATATTGACATTTTTAAAGATATAAGCTCATCCCGA